CGGTAGTTTTGATACGTAATTTACGATCAAAACAGTGAATTAAGCTCAACGTGAAACAATACCACTGTCCTTTTAAATAGCGGGGGATGCCACAGGTATTCGAAGTTTGACAGCGCTTTAACCCGTAACACCTACCATAAATTGTACCCACCTACTAAAATCAAATGTCAAAATTGAGGGGGTTCGAAGGTATATTTGATAGGCTACCAATATATCGGGAATAGACTGATCTAGGCTGGCTACTGATTGCAGGGGATGTTGAGCATGGCGTTCAAACTCGTGATCTGGTGCGGATGCATGACCGAGCGCCTTCGGCTAGGTGAGTCCATTAAAACTAATGTAGTCAGCATCCGATGTCGAGAACTTACGTTAGGGGTAACACCCAGAAACAGGAGACACAACACAGCAGAACGGACTGTATACACATCTTTTACTGCTTAAGAGTGGTTGAATGCTGGAATTCGTCGCCGGCTGAGCTAGTCCAAGAGATTTCCCAGGGGTCCTTTAAGAGAAAACGTGGTATATTAGTAAGGACTAAGGACAGTATCTTACTATGATTTGTCAACTTTTTTCTTTTTCCTGGTTTGTCGTTAATATACCTAGGTTCCTGCCTGGAGGTATCGGTGGTCCACTGATACTAGATACGAAAGCCTGTTAAGCAAAGGCTTCTTCTGTTCCGTCTAAAACTATTTGAACCATTTGATTTCGTAAAGGAGGGAATTTAAGACTGTAGGTCGCAGTCAACATGATTCGTAGTATCATTGGTCGTTCAAGTTGTCGACTTTCCAGGGTTAGCTATGTCTTTTATATGTAAATGCTTCTAAAATATCATTCTAAGCGATTGGCTAACAATATAATAGTCATAATTGTCATAGTTCTAGCAAACGGTGAAATAATACTACGCAAAACACTCATGCAAACTGTTTTCTGGAATATTGGTAACTCTTACAGGCTGTCTGCTCTAGTTAGAGCTCTGGTATTGTCTTAGTGCCCGATTTTTTATCTTTTCTCAGTTTCGTGCGCGACTATATTTACTACAAACCTAATTAAGATCGAAATGTAATTAATATTAACTGGGGGTCATGTTCTAAATAAGGTATACCATTACTTGGCTCATGATTCGTCAAGATTTTTAATGAAGTGTGTTTTGCGATGCTACACTGAGAATCGTGTGGCGTTTGGAAAAAGTTACATGGAGCTCCTGTATCTGACACTGATTACATCCTAAGTGTAATGTAGTTGGGATTTTTTTTATTGCTCATTCGTCCAGGGTGAAGTCGCATTACTACTCTTCCGTGAATTCCTTTACATGTATTTTACATCGCTATCTCACAACATCGGTCTTTCAACAAGCTTGAACATAAAACAGTAATTTTCTCAAAAAAAAGTGACCTAACAAAGGGCCCAAACTTACACTGATTTCTAGTTAAGTGACATTTCCTATCAAGAGCCGTACGCTCTAAAGTAAGTTTAAGTTCGGCAATATAATACAGCTTGTTTTTAGCAGGAGTTATGATCTCTAATCATTTGTAGCTTGGAATTTTCTTGTAACTGTGAAACAGTAGTGAGCGTGTTTCCTTCTATCCCAGCAAAGTCCTATTAATTGACCTAACCCGTTTTCAATCACATTGTGAACGCTATTAATACTGCCTGACTACAATAACTAGATTAAGTGAGGAGGAGCCCAAAATTGTGACAGTTGAAAACCTGGTTCCCTAATCACTGACGTGATCATTCTTTGTGTTAGTACCTTTTGAAAACCCCCGGTTTCATCAGATTGGCGATTAACGATTGTCCATCAGTTTGACCTGCTGTGATCTCAAGATACTTATGTGTGAAAGCTAAGCAAGTATTTGTTGTTGATTTTACGAATGATTTGGTTTTAGTTGTTAACATGTTATCAAATGCACTTAACAACATAGAATATAATGCGGTACTTTTGTCATTTTAAGTTGACAAAACTCCGATTGAACAAAGGTTTACGAATAGTAAAGCACGAACTTCAATATGTCGGGCACAAGATTAAGAAAATAGCCGTAGCTATGCATTCACGACTGGCTTTAAGAGCACTGTAATGTGAAACTAATTCACTAGATTAGTGATCTAATCAGATCCTTGTTATAAAGTACACCACTTCGTAGTGCACACAAGCACCTCAGGGAGAGCAAGAACATAGGGCTACCTCTTTCCATTGTTCAATCTAAACAGGAGGGTCGGGCAGGATTGATCAATATTATCATCAAGGACACATTGGAAACAGCTCTGACGGAATTGATTAATTGCGGTGTTGATATTGGAAAAAGACTTTTCGGCTTTGAATATGCAAATAATTTGTTACCGTGCTAATGGTTCACAAAAGACAGATACACATATACTTTCTTCAAACTTTATAATAGGACTTAACAAAATCTTTGGTTCCATTCCATATCCTGTTAGTAGTTGTATTATATCGGCTTGTTTCGATTTTCTAGTCACACATATACTTGTTAAGAACATGTTGCGTTGTTAAACAATAAATTAGTGGGGAATGGTTATCCACTTAAACTTATAAATAGATGGAAAGTTCATGGTACAGTGAGACCTATCGTAGCCTCGGTGAAAAAAAGCCTGTATACATCACCTTACCATTGAGAGGTGATTCAGATAGCCTTTTATTGCAACAGAGGCTTAAATGAGTCATCAACGAAACGTATTGTGCAGCGAAGATGGATGGATGTCTCAGGAAATCTCTGCACTAATTCAGAAAGCCCGTTTGACTTTTGCCAACTTACGTTACCTATGACACAGACGAGATATCCGTCTATCAATTAAGGGGTGAGTTTACTGTGCGGCAGTTTGTTCTGTTCTACTTTACGGCTGCGAAATGTGGCCATTAGGGTAGGAGATACTCGTATGCTACCAGTATTTGACCACAGATGTCTTAGAAATATTGCTCGCATCTGCTGGGATAACCGGGTAAGTAATAGTGAGGTTAGACGCAGGGTATTAGGGAAAAATGGTAAATCAGTTGATGAGGTTGTGAATCTACATCGACTGAGATGGTTGGGCCACGTGTTGTTGCGTATGCCTGAACACCGATTACCACGATGCTCAGTACTGACTAGTGTTTGGAGATGGTTAAAAGTTAAGGGCGTCCATACCAAACGTGGCATCAGTGCTTGAGGTCACTACTAGTCTGAGCCATGTTGGTAAATGCAGACTACCTGGTTGGGGTCCGCGTGACTATTGTACCCAACTGTTGGAGATTCTATGTGACATGGCTCAGAATGGATCACAATGGCGTAGGTGTATGCACTCTCTGTCTTCCCTTAAACTATGGGATTAAAATTGCTTTATGTCTTTCTTACTGTATCATATCCTTATATACAATCTCTCTTATATATATTACCACCTTTAAATGAACTAATTCTATGAATCCGGTGCTCATCTTGTTGTGCTAATGAGGTTATGGCAACTTGGACTGATACATATATGTACCTGGTCCTACGTTAACTGAAGTAAGTAATGTTTTACCAAGCAAACACGAACGGCGTCCAGTGTATAGAAAGTCGATTTAAAGTGGCCAACTCTTTTTAAAACTGTACAGTCAACTCGAGAATATCAGTCCAATTTATATGGTTACATCTTTGGGCTGTGTACATATATATTCCAGATCGGTTAAGAAAAATTTGTAATGGGAAGCGGCCAAAATAAAAAAAACGTAATCCATGAGTCATTGAAGTAAAAATTAAAATTTTAGGTTAGGTGTCAGTGGGGTAGAAAATATTCCGATTTCCGTCAGTATTTGTCGTAACTTCGATTTTTGTCAGTGTCAGTTTGTTTCGATTACTATACGAAGCCCGATCAGTCATATTGGGAGCCTACTGCATAGCGATGAAAACTAAAAACTGGTCTTTTGATCATCTTGATCAAACTCAGCATGCTTATGGTGACTTTCTATCTAAATGTGAAATATTGCTTCAGGATTAGTCTGCATCAGTACCTAGACTGATCATACAGACATGAGTAGTTGGGGCGTCAGTAAATTCACTTTTCTTGTAAGTCTCTCCAACCTTTGTGCGTTGTATAACGAATTCAAAAAGCTCCCTCGACCTACTTACATCACTCTTAGCGTAAGTAAAATTTCTATATGATGTAGAGCGGTTTGCTGCGTTCTACCCTTTGACTTAGGAGGATATTCGTCGGTTATTAGTATTGGATCATACGTGCCTTCGAAGGATTGTTCACCCGTTTGATTCGAAAGGTAGGATGTTGAGATTTGACATAGGATACTGGGTAAAAATGTCAAATCGTTTGATGAGGTGATGAATCTTCACTGATTGAGGTGGTCAAGATTGCGTGCCTGGACGCGCGATACTTGATGGAGTAGAAACAAGTTTGAAAAACCTAGTGTCTAGACGAAGACGTGAATTTGGTCTATGAAAACAGTAACGGTCTTACTGAACCTTATAGGGAGGTGCAAACTATCAGATTGAGTTCTGCTCGCTTATCGTAACCAATAATTGGAGATGTTTAGTGACATGGCCCGGATGCATTCACATTTCATCTTCCTTTTGTTCTTTCACTCATCTTTGATCATATTCTCTATACCCAGTGTTTTTTTCTGCCACTGATACTTCTAATTATACTGCTCTGGCATTCATCGTGATAATTTTATCTCACTGTAATGGTGTGATGTTAAAACTTGGACCGATAAACATTTGTGTCAGGTTTTACGATGGTTGTGAGTGACCAACAGGAAATTTTAAGTCTCGGGGCTGTGGTTCATATTTATCATATGAGTACTAATACAACTATCTGGTTGCCGCAATCGTGTTAAGCACGTTCAGGTATAATAAACATAACGTTGGTTGAGTACTTAAACTATTAAACTGTGTCTGGGTATTCAAGTTCTAAAATGTTTGCAGTAAACAGTTTGTTGTTTTTGGTCTTCTTCATTTTATAGGTTTACTTACCATCTCAAACAGTGAAATTTTAAAGATGAATCAAACTAATTTAGAATGACGCTCATTTGTTGCACATTTTGTGATATGTGTTTCAAAAAACCATCTCGACTAGAGGCACATCTGCGAATCCACACTGGAGAGGTAAAACATTTCAAGTTCCTTTTAAACAGTGAAACCACTACTTAGTGATTTTTTCACCCGGTTTCGAACATTATTTTTTACCCTAAATTATTGACCTCTGTTGATACTAAAATTATGGTATTATTATTATTGGCTTTATTCAATATTATATTTCTGGTACAATATGGAATTCTCAGCACGAAGTATTTCTACAAGTTTCTTTTTCTTACTTCTTGACTGATCCTTGCGATAAATATTGAGCGATCACCAGTTAGATCTTAACAGTTCAGGAATCGATATCTGAATAATGTATATTCTTTTTGATGCATATTGCCAGCAACCACGATGTCTCTGATTAGTCTGTTTTGTAAGTTTTGCAGCGCAATGTAATAAACTTTTCAGAAACGGACCTGAATAGGTTATCAGACTAATAGGCATAATAATGTGTCAAAACAAACAAGGAAACAGATATTTTGTTGAAATATCCAAATGGCAGGAACAGGTAGCCCAGATATTCAAGCAGGCCACCTTGGTAATGCAGTTTAATAAAGAAGTAATTTGAATTACTAAGCTTTGAGTTACATTTGTTGTCTATGATTAGAGGTACTACCTAGTTCGGTTATATGAAACCGGTTTTAAGATTCACCCAGGCTGGTTAGTTATTGACACTTGTTACAATCTTAAACAATTTAACAGATTTTTTCTATCATATCCTATGTGTTATATCTGTACTATCAGTTAACCTGGGTTGTTAATTAGTCCTACGGTTGTAATATATTTTGTCCATCATATATTGAGATTTCATCGGCAATTATCCCTGTCATATATGATAAATTTTATCTTAAAATCTGGTCTTTAAGCTGGATACTTATTTACATTTCGACTACTTCTAGGACTACAAAATCATTATCGACCCATAGCGAAAACTAGTTTTTGTCTTGCTCTGTACCAGTCCGCTTTAATTTACAGAAATGCTTAATTCATAAACCTGATTAAAAATCTACATGAAACTCTTCTTAACAACATGTGTATTCCGTCCATTGAATATGCGGTCTGAGTTCATAGAAACTTTGCTTACTAAAACCCCAAGTATATTATTAATTTATTGAAATACATTTGTCTCATCTCCGTCCTAAACATTCATAAAACTCCTCAGAAGTTAGGCTCCCAAATTTAGTTCACCGATGATCTTGTGGATGGTAAATTGGCAATTTGAGAGGATAAAAGATCTGACACGTTCCATATTCTCATCAACTAAGGAGGTTGATTATCATCTGGACAACGTTGTAGTCATCATGGCTCTTACGGAAACTCTTGGTCCACTTGAAACGAGTTGTTTTATTCATCGTTATCCCCGTAAACCTCTTGACATCCCATTGCTTTTCTGATAATCTTTCCCAAGTTTCAACATTTCAGATAAGTTCGCGTATTTAGTCAGCAAAGTAGTTGCACTTACATCTCTTAATCCTTGTAAATCTTTTTCGTTCTAATCTGATGCTAAGATATGTCGAAAATGCTAGCTGACAGATTTATAAATCTGGCCTTGTTGTGTAATTGGTTAACTGAGCGACTGCCTCGTCTTATTAGTACACCTAGATAAATCTATTGTACCTTCGACCATTACTAAAAATTACTATTATTGAGTCTTATCTACGCAAAATACCATTTAAATTTGAATTATCTCTCAATGTATCTCTACGAGATTTTTAGGTGATGTCAGCTTGTTTTCTTGACACCTTGGTAAACCTATGACTTTTTCCTAATGAATATGTTTTTGTGATATCCCAATGAGTAGGAAATTGTCGGTGTTCAAACTATTTAACTTTTATCCATTGGGTCTTGCTTTACCTATTTCTGTTTGGACATTCGTGTAGTATAACAACAAATAATAATTAAATACAGAACAAATATTGATGCAGAATAGTATGAATTCATTATATTTCGTGGTTTCTCATCAGCTGCTTACAACCAAATATGACCTTTCCTTGCATATATATATATATATATATATATATATATATATATATATATATATATATATATATATATATAAGTTATCATTGATAACCTTTTGTTATTCCAATCCTTTACATTCAATTATGTCCATCGTTCCATATTATTTATTACCCCAATGCTAAAACTCCGATACATATTTGGTTGTAAGCAGCTGATGAGAAACCACGAAATATAATGAATCCATACTATTCTGCATCAATATTTGTTCTGTCTTTATTTAAATTCATAAAGGGAACTAATTACATGAAATAATAATTAGTACCTGTCACATTACAGCGACGAAATTCCTAATATACATCGGTGGGTTGGCGCAACTTGTGAAATGACTCAGTTCAAGTCACTTTCAACATAGCATTCGTAAAGTTAACAAATCCATCTTTTCTCATTGTTAACTCCTCTACTAGCGTCCATATGTTTGCACGTGTGGTAAAACCTATACACGGAAACAACATTTAACTCGTCATGCTTCAAAATGTCCCAAAACTATTCCAGAAAACAACTTATCTAAACAAAAGGAGCCAGTAAAAGTCGAAAAAACTTATTCGTGTTCACAATGTTCTGCTGGACCTTTTCAAAAAAAGAAAATGGTATCGGCTCATATGGCTATAGTACATGGGTAGGTGCTAACATTTTTATTTTGTTACTACTATTTGTAAAAAGTCCATTTTACGGTTAAGTATGTCCCTTATCCTTTTCTTATCTAAATGTTCTCCAGCCACTGGATCGAAAATTAGTTCTCATTACCTACGTTAGTTTCAGCGGCTATACAGAAGTACCGATTGAATGGACTAGTACCATGATTCACTCGTTCATGCACAATTCAGTATTCAGTTGTCAACAGTGTATTGACTTAGTTTGTTCCGTTTTATGTTTGAATATAATCGTGGTGAGATGATATTCAACTATTTAATATCCATGGGTGTAATTAATACTATTTCATTTGCAGAAAACGAGTGTGACCGTATGATGCGCTGCTTTTCCTTCTCAGTAGTATGTATGTAGTGGATTATCTTCAGGATAATTTCTAATATTTCGTATATCACCCACCCTGTTAACCGTTAATAGATGGCTCTCATCAGTGTATAAATTTCAAAAGACAATACGAAGCGTTGAATAGAGTCCATTTGTATTCAGTGTAGATTATATATGATTTAACTTAAGCTGTCGTCTAAAAGAATAGGTGTTCAGGCAGAAAGTAATCGGGTATGTTTAACACATCATAGCCCTTGTAGTTGATACATACTTATAAGGAATCAATTGAATAGTAATACTGTTATATATATATATATATATATATATATATATATATATATATATATATATATATATGGCATCTTTTTTACATACATTATTCAAGCGAACGGAAACATGTATGTGACAAATGTGATCGAGCGTTCCCCACGGCATCTAAGCTAAGACGTCATTCATTAAAACATCATGGTTACGTATGTAAGCTGTGTTCTGAACAAATATCTGAAAACCCTAAAAATGGAGAATCAGTTGCTCTCATACCTATTCATTTTGAAAGTTTTGCGTGTTTGAGACGCCATATTGCTAAAGCTCACCCAAAAACACGTAAGTTACTTGAACCTTTGTGCGTTTATTTATTTCACGGGGTTTTGTTGCTTGTTAATTTGATATAATATATTTATGGTTTCTCAAAACACTAGTGTTAATATCACAGCTTACTTCCAGTTAGTTACCCTTATATACTTTTTCTTCTTGTTCAACTGTTTTGACATCGCTTTCTCTCTATGGTTGTGTTATAATTTCTCTTATTACGACCCAGCTATTCCTATTGCTTAGTATTCTTGGACACCAATTCACTCGACAAGTCCCCAGGGCGGAAAACGGTTGAACAGAAACGAAATTATATTCCAAATTACAAGGGTAGATGGAAGTAAGAAGCGCAATAGGAAGAACGTTAGTATATTAATAGTTTTTATATGAGTCTTTTCCAAGTATCCACTGGCGCTGATGTGATAAGAAATAGCCAATCAGCGTGCCCCAACTCAAGCATGCACGAAACTTGCTTTAATCCAATCCATATTACGCTAACACCTCCCCTTTGAGCAGGTTCGTAGGATCTGGTGATAGTGTCCAACTGCAAACTCGTGACTGGCCTGTGCCTTCGATTTGCCCATCGTTTAGGCAATAAAGAAGTGGTATCATTCTTTGCTTGCAAAGAAATTGGACTATCTGTTCTAGGGGGTGTGATTTCAAAGGTGTCCAGTAGAACTTCAGGAGCTGTTCTATACTGGGTCTTATTGTTGTCTATCGAAGTTGCTTTCAGTTGGTTAGCATGATGCACCCAAACTTCTAAACCAACTGACATGGCATCATTAATGAACAAGGAGGATTCGATGCAGATGTTAAGGCAATTATTGGCAAAGCAAGAACAGTATTCCTACATTTGAAGAACACATGAAACTGGAAACAGCTGTCTCCAAGCCAACATCAAAATCAGAATCTTCAATACCAACGTCAAGATGATTCTACTGTACAGAGCTGAAACTTGGATGACTATCACAACCATCATCGAAAATGTACAAGTATTTATAGACAATTGTCTACGTAAGATAGTCAATATCCGTTGACCGAGTACCATCAGCAACAGCATACTATGGATGAGGACAGAACAGCTTCCAGTTGAGGAGGAGATTAGGAAAAGGCTCTGGAGGTGGTGGATAGGACATACATTGCGAGAATCATGAAGCAGGACCACAAGGGAGTCACGAGGAGAGATGGAAAATTGGGAGACCGAAGAACACGCTACGTCGATAATTGGAAGCAGTCATAAAAAGAATGACTAGCAACTGGAAATAACTGGAATGGGTTGTGTTATGTATTTGACCTAGCCGTCGCCAATCGTCTTGATCAAGGCCGTAGCTAATTGTTAGGACTTATCCAAGGTCGTCGCTGATTCGTTATAACCTTACGAATTTAACAAGGACGTAATCCGCGTAAATTATCCACCAATAGAATACGCCTTCTACGACCTTCACACTGTGACAATGACGTTCGACTAATATGAGTAATCTAGCGTCCTTATTGGTCCTTATCCGCCTAACCCGTCCACTTGAGTCCAAAACACCAATAGCAGCCTCGGCAATACAAATCGTTTATTTCAAGCATACTTTGTTTATATATCAGGCAGACAGGCCACATCATACCATAAAATAGAAAATAATATTTGTACAAAACCAGGCCAAATGAGGCTGTAAGCGTGGGAGACAATAATCAATAAAACTGAGTATAACATAGGGACAGTAAATCATATAGTAATAATCAATAGGTCAAAATAAAGCTTAGATAATCTAGTTACCAAATAGTTATACAATAAGAATAATAGTCCAATAGTAGGTCCTGCAAGTTACCCGTACTCATTTCTTCACTGCTACATAACAGGTTGTCTAGGATACAATTGGATGGAGAGTGTCTGTGGGCGGTCTAGTCTCCTCCACGAGTGGTGGCAGTCGTAAGTTAGTAAGGAATAAAATAAAAAAAAACTGATGGTAGATGATGATTTTGTTCACCCTCCAAAAACACGACGCGTTTTATCAACCAACTACATTTACGTTTGCTTAAGTTTTACTGACATTTGACGAATTGTCAAAGAATGTCATACATAAACTGAAATAATGAAAATTCAAAATGGATTTCACACTAAATTAATACTGTTATATCGCGTGAGCACGTGCGTGCCCAGTTGTTATGTCGATTGGCTCGCCTATTAGAGAACAGTAAATTTATAGATCGTCCAATGGTACACAAAAACGTTATGAGCAGTCTTGAGTCCTTATCAGTCCTGCTTTCTGCCTAGCCCAACCAGTTAAGTCCAGAACACCAATAACAGCCTCTGCAATATGAATCATTATTCTCAAACAGACTGGCTTTAAATACCAAACAAACCGACCACATCGTACCATAAAATACAAAATAACATTTGTACAAGATTTGGCCAAATGTGGCTGTGAATAGGGGAAACAGTAATTGATAGAATGGGTATAACTCAGGAATGGTAAATCGTATAATAATAGTTCAAAGGTCAAAATAAAACTCATAATAAGAAGGACACGAATATGGATACTTTAGTTACTTAACAATTATACAATAGGAAATATACATATCACATTGGTCCATAAATAGTCCTCAAAGTTACCATTCATAATTCTCCACGGGATACAACAAATACAAACAAATGCTACTTTTCTCCAAATCACTATCAAATTAAATCAATAAAAATAATGAAAAATTATGTACTGTAACTTAGTAAACGTCGTACAAATATAACATTGAATTACAATATAATTTGGCGCTTGATCTTTTGCTAACACACGTCGACCTTGATAATGGAACAGGCTTTTTTCAGTAATCATAGCTTATTAAAAAATGTCAACGCTTTTTCTAGTGCCACAACCCTATATGAAGCCTGCCCATGTTTTCAGAGTTGATTATTTGTATTCTCACATCGCAGTTTATTCTTACATTTCTTTATACCTTCATTCCGTTACATATTCCCCCGTTTTAAGAAGGGCAATTTACCTAATCATCAAACACTGATATAGGAATTTTAGTTAACTGCACTTAATTAGCTTTCTTAAAGAAATTTATCTAAATATATAAATGTAATCCATTTGCGAAGTGTAGACTTATGTAGTTTGATTTGAACCATCCTATATGTTTATGGTCTACTGACACTTCTTTTTTTGGTTAACGTTTTTTTAGCAAGGTTGTTTTCTAATATATGGGCTTACTGACCTCATCCCCAACCCTCCTCCTTTGTGTGGGCTTGGGACCGACAGTAACCCTAGAAGAGCTAAATGTAAACTTAAATGGTTTAAAATATTTTTTTATACTGACATTACTACCCATCTATCCAAATAGAAGTAGGTACAGTGGCATTCGAACCTTGAAAGCTGTGTACTTTAGTCGTCAAAATTAGCAAAATATGTAAATCAAGGATAGTATTCAGACGACTTAGGCTGAAAATAATAAATTTATTAGTATTCACAATTAGCTGTTATTATTACCGATATTTCAACTGTATCTGTTCTTATTATATAACCTTTTCTTTTTTACAGCTTTGCAATGTCCTACGTGTAATATGCGTTTTACAAGACCCGCTGCACTAGCAGACCACGAATCTACACATACCCCTGGTGGACCGTCTGTAAGACGACGTTTTATTTGTCCTTTATGCTCGCCATGTGTTACGGACGATAAAGATAATTCCAACTCACAAGGAAAAGATGATCTTGTTGCATTTACAGCTAAAAGAAATCTAGATACTCATATGCGTTTAGTTCATGGTAACTTAAAGTTTCCATGTACATGGCGTGGATGTCCTGTTCTTTTGTCTACCAGGGTAAGTAGATATCTAGTATATTTTGAGCAGTAACATGTATTTGTCTGTTAGTTTAGCCCCCAAATGCCCTGGTACGGCCGAGAGTGGGGAGAGTCTACTCTCCCTCTCGAAATGCTCTCACATGGCCAGCGAATATATAGCCTCTGTCAAGGAAGTCCTACTCACTGCCTTCTCGTGGCGGGGGTGTTGTTTACGAAAGTGAGAGGACGAAAAGCGAATGTCCGGCGCTATAACCGGATTGGTGGACACGGATGGTCCACCTAGGGGAGTTGGAAAACCCTGATTCCAAACCAATGGTGCACATGGGCTCCAGTATCCTGATGGAACGAATGGCGAAAGAACCTGTCATTGGTCAACGGCTACCATGGGACTGCATCTCCTGACGATGCTCCACTGCCTTGTGGATCAGACCTTTAGGTCAAAGGCTCGGGGTGTGGTCCCCTAAGAAAACCACCTGCTTCAGTTTGGGCACCCGGGCAGTATCACAGCCCACACACACAAATAGTGTGGCGCATATGTATTCGGTGTTTCCTTGTACCTATATTTATGTGTTTAAATAAATAAATAAATAAATTGATAGATAGGAATATTTTAGCGACAAATTGTATTGTCATACAAAATAATTCTCTGCTAACGTCTTTTACTAAATCATATGTTATCTCATCAACCATTTGTCATTTATTTAGATGTCTTGAGACCTGATTGGTTAGTGTGCGAAGATAGATATATTTGGCAATAGGAATGTCAGTAAATATGTGATATATAACCTTGTATTTGTATCTAGCATTGTATTTTTCTGCCCTGGATTTCATTGGGTGTCTTGACGCATGTCAGCGCGCGTCTGGCTCATAACTAGATCTCAGTGATCTGTTGGATACTTTGTCACTTGAAGTATTACGTGATCTAGTTTTTGGTCTTCTTTACTGTCTGCTGTCAATCGTATGAATGCGAAACCCAGTTTACGGACGTTAGAAAATATTCTATTTCTGAATTTTTCTGCAGTATACCTTTAGTTTGTTGGCTTTATTAAGATTGAGTACAATCGTTCATGTTTCTACGTGTCTTGGAATATTTGTAAATATCTCAATATTTAAAATCCAAAATAACATCTACGGATAATGAACACGAAGTCACCTTGATTCAGCGAACATCATTTTTTAATGTTAAATGTCTGTAGCAACTCATCACCGTATGCCTATAATTTAAAACCTGAAGACGTCTTTTGTATGATAGTTAATGAGAATCTCGTACTCTGAGTGAATATATACACAAAAATACAATTTCCATAAATCTAAGCATCGGGTGTTTTTCTCACTATTTCTCTTAGCTTCCAGTTGCTACGTATACAACAGAATGTGATTCATGATTGTTTACATTCTCAATATTCTCTAGCTAAGTAAAATCTCTATGTCTCTTTAATAAAATTGAGGTAATGTATGCCCTCATTCATTGGCAGTTTTTTAGTGAGAAGTTACACACTTAAGGACTTGCTTGATCTATTTGTATTACACAGTTATAATCAAGGAGTTATTGACAATCTTTCTGAGCCATGTCAGTAGGTGTGAATGTCTTGTTCAGGCCACACGAAATTGTTGTGGTCAGTTGTTTGAAGATACTAGTTGTCATGACCTGAAGTTGACAGCAGTAGCAAAGGTAGATTCACACATTATGATTCCCCAAGTTTTGAGTTTCCTTATTATTATATACCCCATATCTCGTAAGTGAATTTCTTGTACTCTCTGTACTTAATCTTTCTTGCCATCATTGGTGGTAATATTACATCTAATCATTTGCGATTCGTCTTGATGTGCTGGAAGAGTTTAGCAGCTTGGATTAATGCAGGTCTACCCTAATTCTTACTTTGGGAATAACTGAATAACTATGAAAGAGAAATTGTTGGTTGAGATTCATCTTTAAAAACCATAAGCCTTTATTTTTACAGATGTCTTTTATTGTTTATACAATTGATCGATCAACTAGTTGCTGTAAATATGTCCAAGGACCTTTAAGATGATCGGAATCCTTTTACAGCATTAGTATATGTATACTGAACACTCTGGTCTCAGAATAATAAAACCTTCAGGACGATTTAATCATTTTATTTATGCACCTTTTTGCATTCTCAGTGCCATACTAAGGAATGCTTATTTTGGATTATCAACATGCATTCAAATCATACGGATCGTATTTTCTCTTCATTTTCTTTTGCTTGTCATTTATCTTTTCATACAATAGATCTGCCTGTCGCTTATGTTATATTAAAACTCGTATCTACCAGTAGAAAATATATAGTGTAGGTGAATGTCGTTAGCAGTTGAATACGGGACTCACGTTTCGTCCCAATTAGGATTCACCATAGTGGACATCAACTCTGCGGTGCAGATACATCCAGCGGATGAATCTCAAGTGGGACGAAACGGGCGTCCTGGATTCAACTACCAACCACATTCGTCTATTTCTACATAAACTTGTGTCACACTGGCTATATCAATACATTCCTCACAGTATGCACATATGACAACTAGGACTGATCAAATTTCAGTCAATCTGTCAACAATGGTACAGTCTAGAAACATGTTAAATCAAAAGTGTAACATTTATGTTTATTCGACCATATTACTTATGAGTAGCTGAAAATGTTAATCTCACTTTTCCTTCCTTATTCTAATTGATTAACATGAAGTCACTTTTGCATACTTCATGAACATAGTGAATATTCAATTCTATTTAGTTGACCCCTTTGCTCTTTATTGATTTTTGTCCTCATATTTAGCAAAAACTGAATGAACATATGGAACGTCATCGGCTAGGCAAGTCAGTTGTTTTCAAAAGCCGAAATAGACGTAATAATCCACGTAATGATTCAAGTAGAAAAATTGATGACGATGATGATGATAAGAAAAACAAGAATAATAATAATGAGGATTATTGGGAAACAGCTAGTCAAAATAGCATTATAGCACTATTGAGTGATGTAATGGATTGTTCGGCTAATCAAATTTATTAATTTTTCATGATAATAATTTCATTATTGTACATAATGGTATTTTGAATTGAATATAGAACGAAGAAAGAAACAGATATGTCATTATATATTTCCCAAGTATTTTTGTATTCTGTTCATATTTACATTTACATTTTCAGATTCAAAAAGTGTTTGAAATGGTATGGAAAATAATGATGGATATTTATTTTCAGAATATATATTATACTACTTATTACCTACTTTCAGTAATTTGCTTAGTAATAATAATAAATATAGTTGTCAAAAGTTGAGCTATATAGATTCAATATAAAACTAAACACATTTGTATGTCTAAATGTGTACTAGGTAAGGATGGCAAATCGATTGATGAGGCAGTGATACTTCATCAATTGAGATGGCTTGAACACGTGTTACGTATGCCCAACCACCGACTACCCCGAAGTGCAATGTTTCATGGTGTAGGAGTAGGTTGGAAGAAAGCTAGGAGCGGCCAGACCAAAACGTGGCACAAATCCATGAAGTCACTGACAGTTGGACTGAGCCATGTTGGTAGGTGTAGACTACCTGGTTGTGATTCGCGAGATGATAGCGATCGATGGTTTGAGACCTTGAATGACGTGGCAATGGCGCAGGTGCATCCACTCTTTGTGTTCTGCCAAATTCTGATCTTCTGAATTCTTCATGTCCCTATCTTTTTTCTCTTTCCAAATTTGTTTCATTAGATTATACTCCTTCAATAACATCTTCAAGCCCTAATCTTTCACATAATGCTTATACTTTTACTACATCTACCACTATGGGATTTGAATGGACAACTGCATCTGTGTGCTAATGTGGTATGGCAACTCGAACTGATGTAGGTACGTACGAAGTTCTATGTTGTGACTGACTGATTCATTTGAACATATAAACATTGATACAAGGGGGCACTAAATGCATATGCACCACACAATAAAATTGAGGTTGTGAAAAGATAGAGAATGGAGGATGAGTAACTATGAATAGAAATTAGTGTATGAGAGTGAAATAATAATATTAACAGTGGGAGAAGCAGTTTAGTTAGGAAAAATACATCCAGAAAAAATTATTTCAGTTGAATAAGTCACGTCCATTCTTATGAAGAAAATTAAAGTACAACAGAATCGCCACTGCTTTTTATTCAAAACCATGTTCGATAACTTCTCAAGCCACTGTGTTGAAGTATCTCTAGGACCCCAACCAGGGAGTCGCGAAGAACCAACAGAAGCCAACCCCTTACAGCTTTCTTTCGTACCATCGTTTGTAATCGAATAGCTCAGTCGTTCCTTAATTCTCAAGTATCATAGGTCCATAATGAACCCCAAATATCAGTATATAACACCATTATTCAATATTAGCCTTATTACATTATAATGTTTATGGGATCAGTAATTATGGCTGCCTGTTTAGACTGATAACTGTGAACATATCAAACACAATAGAATCTATGTGACGAACTCAATTAATTCCAAATAATAAATTATTATGTCAAATAGCTCATTTTCATAATTAGTACGTGGACTTGGTAATATGCAGTCATACAATTCAATTGTTGAGATTATAATAATTTAAGTTGCTCCCTAGCTAACCGATAAGTGGTAACTGCACTCAGAGAATAGCTGACTACAGATGAAACGAGAGTATTATACAAGTTAATGGATATAAGTGCTGGAAATTTGAGTGGTGAAAGTGGTAATCTGAAATGAAACCATTAAAAGTTACTCTCACAATCTAAAGAAATGACTAAGATAAATGTAAAAAGAAAGAAAACTGATAAATATATACAAGTAAATAATTGCGACATTTTTTGAGATCAGATTCTCGACACTTCAGAAATATTCCTATCTGTCCTGTTAAAGATCAGAGCAAACAGAGTCCTATCATTATTTCCGGTTGCTCGTAACTGCGGAAATATGAGTGTTGGTGGATTTCCACTATTATTTGGGACCGAAAGTTAAAAGCGATCTGAATCCAAATGTCCAAATTAGCTAAAAATCACCAGATGTTTTGGGTAATAACATGCAAATAAGCAATATTTTCAAATATTTAAACAAAAAGATTCAAACTGTCGTCATAATGCAATTATAAATTACTACAAGTAATTGCGTCGTGATGCAGTCTGGTGATTCCCTCAATTTGTGTCCGACCCACTTCAAACTCCGCATGTAGCTCTCCTAGAGTTACTGCCGGTCCCAAGCCCGGGTAAAGGAGGAGGGTTGGATATGGGGTTAGCGATCCCATCCTGTAGAAAACTAACTAGCTAAAAAAAACGCTAACCAGAAAAAAGAGCGTAGCTTGAAATAATCGCCTTTGATTATGCGAATTCTCTTCTACGAGCGTGGATATACAAATATGAAGCGCAGGTGAATTATTATGAGCTATAAATATAACCCATCTAACAAGCTGATGTTCGAAGACTCCACGAATTAGAATGTGTGAAAACTTGAAATTTACTTCCATGTTATTGATAACTGATAATTTTAGCCACAATTTATTGATTAATAGTTTTCAATCAATATGTCAAATTGTTATAACGATCGGTTTTTCTTCATCTTTACGAACGTGACGTCAATTTACCTTAGAAGAATATCTACACTAGATTCTTTCCCAATGTCTATTCTACACGACATCGACACAACTCAGATCAACAACACATGATTAGCCTGACTAGAACGTAAACACATTTTCCACACCAAAGCTCCACACAATCCAATAACAATCTACAGTCAATAATAATAACAAGGATAGGAGAATATATCATACAACTAACTCCTGTCAAATTATCTACAAGTAAGACTAAGCAAACAACCAATCATTATCATTCTCGCCCACACACATGACACGAACAAATTGATTAACCAATCAAATGTCATCTAACTTTTGTGCTTATATTTATCAAAAAATAGCACTATGGTGTTCGAAATATAGTTTTCTGTCAAAATCACAAAGGTACAAAAAACAAGTTCATTTTATCTTTATCTTTTTCAGTTTAAATGGGATTTATTGAGCAATCGTATGTATAAAAGTGCATGAAGGATGATTTACTCAATAATATATCTACTTAATTATATTGTAGACAATATTTCAGGCACAAATTAATTGTCTATTATTGAATTGAAATGAGTGACAATGATTGATATATAAAAGAAAAATCGAATTTGAATGAATATATAAATATATGAGATTGTTATGCCACTTTACATGTTACTACACTAGTTCAAACTATTGTTATTACTATATATGGACGGACAGACGGACGCCGGTCACTTGTCATGGAGGAGCACACGTCTCCAACTAGCATTCTCCATCTAAGTCTGTTCACCGCTCTCCCATCCAATTGTTTCCAGTTATTATTCATTCTTTTGATATCTGTTTCCAATTCTCGATGCAATATGTTCTTTGGTTTTCCTCTTTTTACGTTTCCCTCAAAGATTCCAAGTTAGCGCTTGCCTCGTGGTGCTGTTTGGTGATTTCTTTAATGTATTTCCTCTACATTTCCAGCGTCTTTTCCTATATAGAGGTGGTCTAAACACGATATAACATCAATCCAAAAAATTATAGTCTGTTGAACTGAACTATATTGGTAGGTGAAAATTACTTGGTTAAGGTTGATGAGTTTATCGTAACCAATGATTGAAGACGTTGGATGACAAGGTTCAGAAGTGATCACAGATGATCTAATAAATTCACTCCATTCCTTCTCCTAAATCTTGATTTTTAATATTATCATGTACTTTTATACAATGGATTTATTCTTTTCGAACCATATTGTTTATATCTACAAATTTCCACTACAATTACTATTTATGGTAGCTGATTTTATTACTGTTATATTTGTCTTGATAATTTCATCTTGTGACGATATGAGATGACATTGATCCCACCTCGCGAGATTCGAACACAGGACCTATCAGTTTTGCGCGCGAACGCTTAACCTCTAGACCACTGAGTCCGCACTACTAAGGAGTTCCATCATAGGACGAAATGGCCGTCTAAGGCTTCCAGGTTTTCGATGGTGGTATAGCTTTGATTGATTCATGATCTCAACTATTAAAATGATATTATTGTCAGAACTAAACATATATTTGGAACTACAATTATGGACTTACTTCAGCTAGACAACCAGTAAGCACTAGACAACAGTCTCGTAATAAAATGTGACTTGTCAGAAGTTAGATAGCGGAGCCTCTAAAGTTTCCGGTCAGATGACTGATCAACGATAATATCCACGATTCCACCTCGCGAGATTCGAACCTAGGACCTATCAGTCTCATGCGCGAGCACTTAACCGATAGACCACCGAGCTGGCATTCAATGGTGTTTATTAATTAATTAATTATTTCATTTATTAAATTATTGATTATAATTATTGATTTTCTTTTTCTTTTAAAGTATTATGAATAGTAATTGGAAAAGGCCAGATTTACCAAGCAAATGTACATTCTCTTTAGACCAATCCATAAATGAAAGTCCTCATCATCATATTCCAATGTAGGTTTTTATAAAAGAATCAGTTAAAATTCTAAAGACGAATAATCAATTTAGTCCCAAGAGGAATAAAATTATAAAAAAGTCATTACAATTAATAGGTAATACACCTTTAATTCAACTTGATCGAATTGCAAAGCATGAAGGTATAGAATGTGAACTTTGTAAGTCAAATAGTACAGAAATTTTGAAAAAAAACAAAATCGTTTTAGTAGGAAAATGTGAATTTCTTAATATTGGAGGTAGTGTTAAAGATAGAATTGGAAAACGTATGATTGAAGAGGCTGAATCGGAAGGTAAACTGAAGCCTGGTGATACGATTATTGAACCAACTTCTGGAAATACTGGTATGTCTTTTTTTAATTGTTTATCTTAATACAGAAATACATATATGAAATCATACACTTAGAATTTTATTAAACAATGTATGTAACCAGTAACCAGTGGAGTTCAACCAGGTCTGTTGAGAGATATAAACTCCCTGAAGACATTGGTGAAATGGTTGCTCAACTTCGTGGATTGGTTGGAAATAGACATTAACACGATCGGATGCCGTCTCAGTGGTCTATCAGTTAATTGCTATGGTACGAGACTGGTAGGTCCTGTGTTCGAATCTCGCGAGGCGGGATCGTGGATGCACACTCCTGAGGAGTTCCATAATGGGACAAAACGGCTGTCCAGTGCTTCCAGGTTTTCCCTGGTGGTCTAGCTTCAATTGACTCATGATTTCAAGTATATATAAAAATAATGTATGTATTTATTATCATTAATTTTTAAATAATCACAAAACGAAAGTTTTAAAAACTCATACTAATAGGAGCTCGAAGAAAACTGCGGCCATTAAAAAGCCCATATTAACAGAGATGAGCATTGAATGAGGGAATAAAAGTTCTAAGCTTGAAATTTAATTGATTTACCGTCGATTCCTTTGCTTCTAAGACCAATCAAAAACGCAGTTCTTTAAGCATTATATAAGGAGTCTACTTTCAATAAATAATGTAATTGTTCGGATCAATTGACAATTATTTAGTACACCATTTGGGGCCTTGAGTGCTGTTAGAGGTATGAGGGCAGTTATCACCTCCAGGCTGCCCACACCTTGGAAGTGTTCTTCTAGAGGTACCTGAAAAGGGAATTGGGTTATAAGTTGTCCTAATGACCTGGGAGCGTGACCGCAGTGCCCAAGGGACAACTGCTCGTGGTCGGTCACACACGACCTTTTTGTGAGTAATTTTCGTGTTATCTCCATACTTGTTGGGACCTTACCAACGGAGACGGATATCCGTGGGATAAGGAGAGGTGTGCATCTTTTAGGGTCGGCCTTTTCTAACCCCACCCCTTCTTGTGAGAAGGCAGTATCGCTGTTATGCTGACTGTCTGAAGGAAACACCTTACTGCCGTCACATCTGTGTACAGTCAGCAGTACGACTTCGCCTTCGGACCTTGGGATTGCTGCTTTTAGTCTTACCGCTCTTCAACCAACCCGTCTGGCATGGTAGGGCCTTGAGGAACGATTGATCCAGCCAGTTTAGCTCGATTGCTTCATCACGATAGGCGAGCCTGACCACCACGTCAAGGTAGCAACAACGGTCTTTTATATATTACCATCAGTAAATTAACTACTTCTATGATTTTGGTGTTCATCTTGTTGTGCTAACGAGGTATGACAATTTGGACCTCTGCATATATGTGCCTGGTCTTACGTTGTAGCTGACTGCTGACACTATTTGGGGCCCAATGATAAAGCTTGCATTAAGATTTATGAGTGGGAGATAGAAGGGTGACCAAATACATGTTTTTTGGGAATTTTAAAAAAACTCTTCATTTATTTCTACTTGTTTCAAAGTTTCCAAGTATTTAAGTTTAGCTTTGTATGAATATTGTTCGGCGACATGAAAAAAATAATTCCGAAATCGTTTGCGTTCATCTAACAAAAGCGCGGCATTAGCAGAACATGTGGAGGCCAGACGAAAATACAGGTCAAATGGTAGAACACACTGAGAGATGTAAATGGACGATTGAAGGCTGTGTATATGTATTATGTAAATACTTTGTAACTTTTTACAACAAATAAACAATCCCCCCTGCCTATTGTCTTGTTTTACAGTGGTACCTGCTTCCATAATCAGACTTATCATTACAAGCACAATCAACTATCATTTCATAGAAAATATTCATAATCAAATCTACCCTCCATACTTATTATCAATATCAAATATTAGAGTAGTTATTAGTGAATATACATGTTTAATTATTTGTTATTACTTTTTTAAATAGGTATTGGATTGGCGCTTACTGCTGCTCTTAAAGGTTACCGATGTATAATTGTAATGTCAGACAAAATGAGTAGTGAAAAGGTAAATTATCTTAGTCTTCTTCTGATGATTTTGCATTCTTATTTAATTGTTTCATTGTCACAATCAAAAACTACTGGTTTTGTGAGAAAAAAATTGCATTTTAAGTATGAATCAACGTATTCACATTTGTAACTCAATTGTACACCTATTCATATGATTGGTGATGAATAAGTGATAGTACGTATGAGGAGAAAAATCTTTCTGAAATTTCCACACCAAGCTGTTTAATGAAAAATATCAAAAGAATTTGAAAAGTCATACAACTAGTAGGATGAATACAGTATGGTGCACATGGGCTCCAGTATCCTGAGGGAACAAATGGAGTATGAACCAATCGTTGGTCATCGGCTACCATGGGACTGCATCTCCAATGCCTTGTTTGTTAGACCTTTAGGTCAAAGGCTCCAGGTGTGGCTTCCTAAGAAAACCACCTTCTTCAGTTTGGGCATCTGGGCAGTATCACAGCCCTCACACAAATAAAATAAGATTTGTGTGGCGCATATATATCTGGTGTCTCTTTGTACCAATATTTATGTGTTTAGATAAATAAATAAATTATAAATGAATACAGTCTAGTCGGAATTAACCGATGTCATTTATCTGAAGACTATGTTATTACACAAATAGATTGAAGTTATGTTTGTGTAACACTGATTCTATCTCAGTAGCTTAAATAATTTATGATCGAAAAGTTGCTCAAAAGTTATAGGTTTGTTTTTGTGTATAACGTGAGTACGTATTATTACAGAGTCCCGAACAGAGTTGGACACTAGCCTGAGTGACTAGAAATCTAGTGCATTGTGTTTAAATGTCAGGTATGTTAAAGCGATTGTTGGTATACCTTATAACTAGGTTTCGTTCTTATAGATATTTTCTGTGGAAAGAAAGAGTATGTAATATTAAACCATTTAGACAAGATGCCGAATATCAACCGATAAGATTTGATCAGTTCGAGGGTATGGAGCAAATATCAGATTTGTCACCACTTAGAGATCAATCATTGAAGCATCCATGAGGGACTCTATAGTCATAAACATTTCTCTATTCCAGGATAATTAGTGAAGTATATTACTTTCAGATTTGTATATATTCAATCTTCATATTGAAATATGATGAAGCCCAATTGTTTCACTTTTAAAAGTGTCAATTATTCTGATAATTGTACAGCACACTAATTGAAAGTGATTGTATGCTCATTTAGCAAACTATTTCTTTCTTTATTATGATTAAATTAATCAATATTGAAATATACCGTTTTAACCGTTCTATTCTTATAAAGGAATCGTATTTACGATGCCTTGGAGCTGAAATTGTTCGTACACCGGCCTCTGCGAATTTCGACAATCCTGATTCATTGTTTCTAGTATCAGAAAAATTAAAAAATGAAATTGGTCCATCTGCGCATATCATGAATCAATATACCAATCCATATAATCCAATAGCTCATTTTGATGAAACAGCTGAAGAAATTATTCGTGATTGTACAGAAGAAAATGGACAAATTAAATTGGATATGCTAGTAGCTTCTGTTGGAACTGGTGGTACGATAACTGGACTGTCAAGGAAAATAAAAATGAAAATACCTAATTGTTTAGTAAGTTTCTTTTAGACATCTATCTGTTCTCAATCTCATACACAAAATTCACTTTGGTTTACTGATTTGGCGACTTCACAAATCAATGAAACTATAAAATGATAATACTGTCGATTATATAACATGAGTTTGAATTATTAAGATGAAGGCATGCACTCCTTCTAGATTCACTATTTACCTTCGTAAAGGCCACTATCTAGGACAGAATTTAGACCTATAACTTAACGCAGACTGCCTACAAGTAAGTATTATCAAAAATAAGAAGGATAATGATATAAAGTCCTTTAAAATAGTGGCTACATTACAAGTCAGTCAGTTATTAGAGATAGGTGGTGATCAACTAGTGTTAATACTACCGTTCTACTGAAGGTCTTTCATAATCAGAGTTGTTCTGTGTTTATGCCTTAAAGTGTGTAGCTGAATGACGCCTGTTCAAATTCCATATACAGAATCAAGACTAAAAAGCATGTTGCTGCTGATTAGGTCCAATAAGCACAAAAGGCCGGTTCAGACTTTATTACTGACTACCTTTAACCTCCCAACGTCTTGATAGTTAGTTGAATTTTTGATAGAATAGTATATCAGAAGGGGTTTTGTGGAGATTTAGTATGTTTCATAGTTGAAAACATGAGTCTAGATTCAATTGACTCATGCTTTCAACTATGAAGAATAATATATCATGAGAATCTATTAATTACAGTGGATAGTTGGATTATACTGACTAATGAATAGTAATTATCATTGGGATTCAAAGTTATTCGATGAACGAAGTAAACAGTACAATATTAATCAGAGTTTTATTATTAGGTTGCCTTAAAAAATAATTTACCACTATCACAGTAATTCTCTTTTTCTATTAGACAGTAGTTGATCAAATGTCTTCCAATAGACTTAGCCATATATTGCAGTTGTACACTTAAAAAAAACACCAACAACCTTTTAAAAGTCAAGTTCATACAAGATTTACTAGAACTTACCTCTTAGTGATTACTTTATTCACTTATGAATTAAAAGATTCTATCTTCAGCAAAAACACACACTTATACAGATTATCACATTGTAAGTTTCTGACGTATCTAGAATTTTCAATTGGGTTGGTAGAGCTAAGAATAGTGTCAATACAATTCTTGTTATATATAAGAAATCGAAAGTCTCTTAGTTAGTCAGTTGATAGAGATTAGTTCAATTTGAACATTATAAACCGTGATTAATTAGAAAACCGTTTAAATTTGCTAGCACGAGACATATATTTCATCCTAATTTCATTTTATAAAACAGTATCCATCCATAAGTGTACTAAGAACTAAATAAAGAATCTTCAGACTTAATTTCATGTTGACTAGTAATTCCATACCAGTTTTTTTGGTTTCTTTAAAATTTCAAGCTATTGAACTCTAACTTTATCACATATTGTAGATTATTGGAGTGGATCCAGTTGGTTCAATTTTAGCCAATCCACAGTGTCCAGAAACAACTCCATACGACGTTGAAGGTATTGGATATGATTTTTTCCCTACTGTCCTGGATACAAATGGAATTGATAAATGGTGTAAAACGAGTGATCATGAATCTTTTGAAATGGCAAGGCGACTCATACATGAAGAAGGTTTACCATGTGGTATGTTAGACGGTCGCATTCAATCATTTATGAATTTATTATGTTTTTTTTCGGTTTTGACGTATTTCAAACACTTTACTGTTCTTCTGTCCTCTTGATAACTCTCTGACTAATGCATTTCATAGAGTTCAGATCATGAATCAATCGAGGCTAGACCACCATGAAAAACCTGAAAGCATTAGACGGCCGTTTCGTCCTATTATGGGACTCCTCAGCAGTGTGCATCCACGATCCCGCCTCGTGAGATTCGAACCAAGAACCTACCGGTCTCGCGCCAGGGCACTTAACCGATAGGTCACTGAGTCAGTGCCTGAGACTGGTAGGTCCTGGGTTCGAATCTCGCGAGTGCGGGATCGTGGATGCACACTGCTGAGGAGTCCCACAATAGGACGAAACGGACGTCCAGTGCTTCCAGGTTTTCCATGGTGGTCCAGCTTCAATTGAGTCATGATCTCAACTCTACAAAATTATTAAAATCTCCACCAAACCTCTTCTGATAATACATTTCAATTTACATCAACAACTGAGAATTAGATTAAACCAGAACGCAACGTATGCATCAAGAAAACGACCAGAATAAATATAATGAAATGAAAAGTTGAGTGTTCATGTGAGATATTCTAGATTGCACTAGGCTAACTGATAGAGTAATGTCACTATGTTTTGAAATTATCCATGAGTCCTAATTAGTTAAAAATGGACAGCTTGCCTGAATCATTTATTTGAAAATATTTGAAGCTGGTTTGTTAGAAATTGGTTTATAAGCAAACTCTAAATCAGAATTTGGGTAAAGTATGAAGCTTTCTCGTTGATAAGACTATCTGAAGATAGACAGAATAGTCTTTAGTCTTGGAAGTATGCAAAAGTTATGTCTTTTGATTAGGTCAGTAGGAGTAAGGGATGATAACCTGGGGGTCATTGGAAAGAATCGCACTGTAACAAATCTTTTTTATAATTGGTTATCACTTATTCACTTAGTAACATTTTACACTCAGAATATTTTTTGTTTCGAAAATCTGATTAACAAGTATATGTAGTTTTTTGTATTCAATGTCTGCCTTGAATAATTCTAGTGGTCTGTCAGACAATTTTGTATATCGCTACTAAGGATTTCAATTTTAACAGAGCTCATTTACTTACTCAGGATGATAGGTCACATACGGTACTTCTAACTTTGATGAAATTTCAGCTTATCATTTCAGCATTCTTATTTAAATTATTTAGATTATGATGAAGTTACGTTCTGTGAGGTATGTAGTATAACAATAAAGTATCCATCGTCTTTCTACACAATATAATCAGTATAAACTTCAGACAAAAGTGAACTATAAGAATTTCTACACTACTGACTAACAGTTTGAATTCACTTAGTATTGTTTATTTGAATCTTCCCATTGATGTTTAAGAATGAAATTGATCAGTCTCTTATTGGTATATGTACATCTTGTGCGTATTACCTCAATATAGTCTTAATTCACAAACATTATAAACAAACATGGATAGTGGTTAGCAGTGAAATCCAGAACTAATCCATGACTAACAGTTTGTTTTGTTAACCTTAAATTGAATGATAATGTAGTTGAATTTAGAGTTTAATGATGAAACTCCCTTTCAAATAAACAATTAGATATAAATATATTTATGACATCATTACATGTATCTATATCAAGCTTGGTTATGTATATTTCATGGTGATTTAATGTAAACACTTTGATTTATTGTAATTTATAAAAATAACATTTGTGTTCACATGATGTAACACTAACAAACTCGGTATATGTTTTATACTTAATTATGGTTCTAAGACAACTCCGCCTGTAGCTCCTCCAGGGGCTACTGCCGGTCCCAAGCCCGGGTAAAGGAGGAGGGTTGGGCATGGGGTTAGCGACCCCATCCCGTAGAAAATCAACTCGCTAAAAAAACGCTAACCAGAAAAAATCATTCAAACCATTCAAACTCTGCCCTGGGAGTAGAAGGAAAAATGACGTCTCATGATGAAAGCCGAGTTCCTTCGGAAGTCATGAGGCCGATGCACCTTCTTACAACCAGAGCGACAATTTTTATAGGTACATGGAATGTCCGGACAATGTGGGAGACCGGCAGAGTCTTCCAAATTTCTGCGGAAATGAGGAAATACAACCTGGAAGTGCTTGGAATCAGTGAAACACATTGGACGCAGGTTGGACAACAACGACTGTCTTCAGGGGAACTTCTGTTATACTCCGGTCATGAAGAAGAAAATGCCCCACATACACAAGGAGTGGCACTGATGCTGTCTAGAAAAGCACAAAATGCACTTATAGGATGGGAATCTCATGGACCGAGGATCATCAAAGCCTCCTTCAAAACAAAGAGAGAGGGCATTACAATGAACATCATCCAATGCTATGCGCCGACCAACGACTACGATGAAGACGCTAAAAACCAATTCTACGATAGGCTGCAGTCAATCTTCGAAAAGTGCCCAACAAAAGACCTGACCATTCTGATGGGAGATTTCAATGCCAAGGTTGGAAAGGACAACACTGGATACGAAGACGTCATGGGACAACATGGACTGGGAGAAAGGAACGAAAACGGTGAGAGATTTGCAAACCTATGTGCCTTCAATAAACTGGTCCCACGCAAACGCATACACTAAGCCATATGGACTTCACCGGATCACACTACGCAAAACCAAATAAACCATATCTGCATCAACAAAAAGTTCAGGAGGACGATGGAGGATGTGAGAACCAGAAGAGGAGCTGATATAGCATCCGATCACCATTTGCTGGTCGCCAAGATGAAACTAAAACTCAAGAAGCACTGGACAATGGCGCGGACAACATCACAAAAGTTTAACACGGCCTTTCTTCGAGATGCTGACAAACTCAACGAATTTAACATAGCCCTCAGCAACAGGTTCGAGGCCTTTCATGACCTACTCAATGGAGAGGGAACCACCATAGAGAGCAGCTGGAAAGGTATCAAGGAGGCAATCGTTTCAACATGTCAGGAGGTTCTGGGCCAAAAGAAGCACCATCACAAGGAATGGATCACTGTTGGTACACTGGATAAAATTGAAGAAAGAAGGAACAAGAAGGTAGCAATCAATATCAGCCGAACAAGAGCAGAAAAAGCCAAGGCACAAGCCGAATACACAGAGGCAAACAAGCAAGTGAAGAGGAGCATCAGGACCGACAAACGTAAATATGTGGAAGATTTAGCGATGACAGCGGAAAAGGCTGCAAGAGAGGGAAACATGAGACAACTGTATGATACAACAAAGAAACTTGCTGGAAATTACCGTCAACCAGAAAGACCAGTGAAAAACAAGGAAGACAAAGTAATCATCGATATTGAAGAACAACGAAACAGGTGGGTAGAACACTTCAAGGAACTCTTGAATCGACCAGCTCCACTGAACCCACCCAACATCGAAGCAGCACCCACAGACCTCCCAATCGATATTGGCCCACCAACAATTGAAGAGATCAGCATGGCCATTAGACAAATCAAGAGTGGCAAAGCAGCGGGACCAGACAACATCCCGGCAGAGGCACTGAAAGCAAATGTAACAGCAACTGCCAAGATACTCCACATCCTCTTCGGTAAGATTTGGGACGAAGAACATGTACCAACAGACTGGAAAGAAGGACTTCTCATCAAGATACCAAAGAAAGGCGATCTGAGCAAGTGCGACAACTACAGGGGCATCACTCTTCTCTCAATACCAGGAAAAGTCTTCAACAGAGTATCGTTAAACAGGATGAAGGATTCCGTGGACGCCCAACTTCGAGATCAACAAGCTGGATTTCGTAAGGATAGATCGTGCACAGACCAAATCGCAACTCTACGTATCATTGTGGAACAATCAATCGAATGGAATTCATCACTGTACATCAACTTCATCGACTACGAGAAGGCATTTGATAGCGTGGACAGGACGACACTATGGAAGCTTCTTCGACACTACGGCGTGCCTGAGAAGATAGTAAATATCATACGGAACTCCTATGATGGACTAAACTGCCAAATCGTCCACGGAGGACAACTCACCGACCCGTTCGAGGTAAAGACCGGTGTTAGGCAAGGTTGCCTACTCTCACCCTTTCTCTTTCTCCTGGTGATCGACTGGATTATGAAGACGTCAACATCTGGAGGAATGCACGGGATACAGTGGACAGGCAGGATGCAGCTTGACGATTTAGACTTCGCGGATGATCTGGCTCTTCTATCACAAACGCAACAACAAATGCAGGAGAAAACGACCAGTGTAACAGCAGCCTCAGCAGCAGTAGGTCTCAATATAAACAAAGGGAAAAGCAAGACTCTCCGATACAATACAATATGCACCAATCCAATTACACTTGACGGAGAAGCTTTGGAGGATGTGGAAATCTTTACATATCTGGGCAGCATTATTGATGAACACGGTGGATCAGATGCAGATGTGAGGGCGCGGATCGGCAAAGCAAGAGCAGCATACCTACAGCTGAAAAACATCTGGAACTCACAACAATTGTCAACCAACACCAAGGTTAGAATTTTCAATACAAATGTCAAGACAGTTCTTCTGTATGGGGCAGAGACGTGGAGAACTACGAAAGCCATTATCCAGAAGATACAAGTGTTTATCAACTGCTGTCTACGCAAGATACTTCGGATCCGATGGCCAGACACTATCAGCAATAAGTTACTGTGGGAGACAACAAACCAGATTCCATCGAGTGGAGGAAGAAATCAGGAAGAAGCGCTGGAAGTGGATTGGGCACACCTTGAGGAAATCACCCAATTGTGTCACAAGACAAGCCCTCACATGGAATCCTGAAGGTCAAAGGAGAAGAGGAAGACCAAAGAACACATTACGCCGAGAAATAGAGACAGACATGAGAAGAATGAACAAGAACTGGAAAGAACTAGAAAAGAAGGCCCAGGACAGAGTGGGTTGGAGAAAGCTGGTCGGCGGCCTATGCTCCATTGGGAGCAACAGGCGAAAGTAAGTAAGTAAGTATGGTTCTAAGACCGGAAAAGAAAGGAATTTTTATTTATTTATTTAAACACATAAATATTGGTACAAGGAAACACCGAATACATATGCGCCATACAAATCTCATTCGATTTGCTTGAGGGCAGTGATACTGCCCAGGTGCCCAAACTGAAGCAGGTGGTTTTCTTAGGGTCCCACACCTGGAGCCTTTGACCGAAAGATCTGATCCACAAGGCAGTGGAGCACCGTGAGGAGATACAATCCCATGGTAGCCGGTGACCAACGGTTGGTTCTTACGCCATTTGTTCCTTCAGGATCCTGGAGCCCATGTGCACCATTGGTTTGGAATCAGGGTTTTCCAACTCCCCTAGGTGGACCATCCGTGTCCACCAACCCGGTTAAAGCGCCGGACATTCGCTTTTCGTCCTCTCAATTTTGTAAACAACAGTAATGCCACGAGAAGGTAGTGAGTAGGACTTCCCTGACAGAGGCTATATACGAGTGGCCATGTGAGAGCATTTGGAGAGGGAGAGAGGACTCTCTGCACTCTCGGCCTTACCAGGGCATTTGGGGCCGGAAAGAGTGATATGTCATATCATATAAGGTTTTTATGTCGTTAAGTAATGGAAACACAAAATAAATAAGTCGGAAGTAGCGTGGAATAGTTGTAATAAACTAAACTTATGCAAATAACAAGTTACAAAACAGCTGATTAGTATGAACGATGACCATACTAATTAGACAAGTATTAGTCAAAAACTATTATTATTATTATTATTATTATTATTATTATTGAGCAAAGCTTGTGATTTAAGACAATACCGAGGTCATCCGCACAGGATGCACGTATACCAACAAGAGACTGATCAATTGCAGTCCTAGACAACAATGGGGAGGTACAAGCAATTATTAAAAGTTGTTGGCAAAGACTATGGGAACTTAATACTTCTGGAGAGTTTATTCTTACATGAATAAGATTGCTTCCTGAGTACTGTCTTTGGAAGGTTTACTTTTCAAAGATATTTAGCCCAATGAATATCTTATCAATAAGTAGTGTATAAAAAAGGAAGCTAAAAGTTAACCGATTAAGCGTTTTCGGTTTTTTATTATATGGGATCCACAAATTTTTAACTTCCACAGTTGTAGTTCAATGTAATGCATGGACAGTTCAACCACCAATCACAACTGTCTACTTTCTTAGCATATGTTTGGAATATTTCATTGATAAGTCTAAATAATGTTAATGTATTCATCAAATACAATTCATATTTATATTTTTTATCTGAACAAATTCTGTCACGGAAAACGTTTTAATGCATTAGGCTCTTACAAGCAAGTTGAACAAAACTGAGTGGAGATAGCCAGTGTAGCGGTAGCATCTTCAGCATTGGACCTCAACGCACACAAGGGAAAAGGCGAAATTCTGAAATACACCACAACGAGCACCAACCCAATCACAATAGATGGGGAAACTTTGGATAAGGTGGAACTTTTCACTTACATGGTCAGAATCATTGATGAGCAAGGAAGATTCAACTCAGATGTGACGGAGAGGATTAGTAAAGCAAGGACAGCATTCCTACATTTGAAGAACACATGGAACTCAAAACAACTGTCCTCAAGTCAACATCAAAATCAGAATGTTCAATACGTATGTCAAGACAGTTAGTTCTACCGTACGGAGCTGAAACTTAAAGAACTACCACAACCATCATCGGAAAAGTACAAGTATTTCTAATCAATTGTCTACGCAAGATACTCAGTGCCCACTGGCCTCATGCAATCAGCAACAGCCTACTATGGGAGAGAACAAACCAACCTCCAGCAGAATGTGAAATTAGGCGGTTGAGTAGTTGATAGGAAATATATTATGGAAATAACCAAACTGCATCAAGAGGCAATACCTTTAACTTCCTAGAATCAAAACATAAAGTTCAAATTAATATCTAGTTACCTGAATTGTTGACCACACTGCAACTTGATCAGTAGAATTCAGCCAGTACTAGGTTCTAGACAAACATGACATCAATTACTGTTTAGTCATAAACCAAGATGTACTTATTATTAAGAAATGTTTTATCGAATTTCTTTCGATCATTAATTTTTTTTAACAAAGGTGGCAGTTCTGGTGCTGCTGTCGCTGGTGCTATCAGAACTATCAAACAATTGGGTTTAGGAAAAAACAGTCGAGTCGTGGTTATTCTACCCGATAATGTACGCAATTACATGTAAGATAAGCTTTAAAGCTCGTTTAATAAATTCTGAATAATTTTATATAAATTGTAAAATATGAATGTCTTATGGTTCACAAAATGTTCATAATGAGATTCATTCATAACTTATAGGGTTTAACTATAATTATTAAAATTATACTAGACATATGAGGGCTATTTGTTAGACTGAATGAAGCTTGATTTTATAAATCTTAGTATTTAGGTCGTGAAAGCGAAGATAGGACATTATTATTCTTCATATTCCGTATTTGAGGGATGTTAGAAATTACTGTGAACATTCATTACATTTGAATTCACATAGTATTGTTTGTTTGAATCTTCCCATTGATGTTTAGGACTGCAACTGGTCAGTCTGAGTTGATAACGCGATGGCGTTTGAAGCGAAAGGTACTGGGTTCGAGTCCTAGAGTGAACATCAACTCTGAGATGCAGGTACATCCAACTGACGAGTCCCAAATAGGACGAAACGCGCTTCGTGGATTCCACTACGAGCCACTATCCATCTTTGCTTACAATTCATTACATTTGTTTTCTTCTATTCATCTTCATTCTTTACTAAATGTTTATTTTCTCCTTATGATACATAGGCATGATACAGCTAAAAGGTTTGAATTTCATTTAAAAGCAGCTCGTGTTTGGCGTACTCTCTAGGTAAATATTTAGGCAGATTATAATTCTATACATTGCATTCGGCCGTCAATAATATCTCTGGTTGGGACTATAATGGAAGTACACTAACATAAGATATATTTCCATGGTAATTTGTAGATATTTTTCCAACATTATCCGTTGAACATCCTATCTTCTGATGAATTCTGAGACTGTCAACTTATTTTCCTTGTGTACCTGAACTAAGAAATACGAATACTCTTGAAAAAAAGAAACAGTTCATTGGTGTTATTGTTTGAAAATTATTATCATTATACTGCCTTGGTGAACTAAGGATATAATACTCGAAATACGTATACTTTCTTTTAATACTGTTAGTTTTATGAGTGGATGCGTAAATTAAACAGAGAATGAAGCTTTATTGACAGGAACGTGTAATTCATTTGTATAAAATGTAATTGCTAATATTTAGCAACTTACAATTAAAGGTTTTGAACATTAACTGATAATTATTGTATTTTCATAGTTGAAATCATAAGTTAATAGAAGCTAGACCACCATGGTAAACCTGGGAGCACTGGACGGCTGTTTCGTCTTATTGTGGAACTCCTCAGAAGTGCGCATCCACGAACCCAGGACCAGTCAGTCTCGCGCGCGAGCGCTTAACCACTAGACCACTGAGCCGGCATCCAATGGTGTTCATGTATAACTTCAACCAATCCACGAAGTTGATATATAAACTAAGGAAGTAGTTGAATTTTTTAATAATCTTAACTTGACTAACTTGAACCTTTTCAATTATGCATTAATAATATCTCTTATTTGTTTACTATTAAAAAATCCTGTTTTTATTCTAATTTTTTTTGCTTAGGTCTAAATTCTTATCAAATGATTGGATGTTTAGTCGAGGATATATGGACTTTCCTTTAGGTGATACATTTCGAAATAAGTAAGCATATAGTTTTGAGGATAAGGGTAGCCAAATGATAAATTATATATATATATATATATATATATATATATATATATATATATATAGTTAAGATCATGAGTCGATTGAAGCTGGACCACCATGGAAAACCTGGAAGCACTGGACGGCTGTTTCGTCCTATTGTGCTGAGGAGTCCCATAATAAGACGAAACGGCCGTCCAGTGCTTCCAGGTTTTCCATGGTGGGCTAGCTTCAACTGACTCATGATCTCAACTCTATAAAATTACTAAAATCTCCACAAAACCCCCTTTTGATAAGTATATTTTGGGTGTATCATAAAAATTCTGCGAGAATATAAAATGCTTTAACATGTATAAAGAAATTAGATGTTGTTATTGTCTTTAAATACAGTCTGAAATTTCATTCTAGTACGGTAGTGAAATTTAGTATTCTGTGTGCACGGACTTAAAATAAAAGGAGGTTGAACACATTTGGTTAATTTTAGATTAAACAATTCGCCGTTGTGTTCAAACATGTAAAACTTAAGGTCAAAAATGTTTTACATTTTCAGTATAAAACCCCTTTTCCTATTCAACTTATTGAGCTTGTATCTGATTTTCAATAAGTAATGTTTGGAATAGTTCTCGAATTTAAAACATCACCTGTATGAAATCTATCAATTTGTTAGCGGAATATAGATTGGATTAAAGCACTTTCCATGTACGATTGTTTTGGGGCACGCTGATTGTCTATTTCTTATCCAATCAGCGCTAGTAGATGCATGGAAAAGACTCTAGGATCTTCTCATGTAATAACCATAACTGTACTAACGTTCTTCTTATTGTGCTTCTTACTTCCATCTACCCTTGTAATTTAGAATATGATTTCGTTTCTGTTCAACCGTATTCTGACTTGGGGACATGTCGAGTGAATTGATGTCCAAGAATACTAAGCAATAGGAATAGCTGGGTTGTATTAAGAGAAATCATCATGCAGTTTATATCATATTTTACAATGAGTAAACATAATGTGGATGTATGTAAAAGGATTTTTTTCTCTAAAATATATTTGATTTGATCTTTTTGACTGTTTACATTGTATCCTATTATTATATATCTTTCTGTTAAGTTGGATTAATGCTACATTGGATGAATTAATTGTTAGTCTACCAAAAACTGTTAGAATAACTGGAGAACATACAATAAAAGATGCTACGAATTTAATGAAAATGGAGAATGTAAGGGGATTGTTGGTGATAGAAAATAATAGAACAAAGTAAGCACTTTACTTATAGTTCTCTATTTTAATACAAATATCTTCAAAATAATTCATTCATCCCGTTCATTTCTTCATTGAAAACAAATTCTTAGTATGAGAATAAATTGAAGCTAGAACACCATGGAAAACCTGGAAACACTGGATGACCGTTTTGCCCTATTATGGGTCTCCTCAGCAGTGCGCATCCACGATCCCGCCTCGCGAGATTCGAATTCAGGACCTACCAGTCTCGAGCCAGCGCACTTAACCGATAGACCGATGAGCCGGTTTCCAACGGTGTTAATATCTAACCTCAACCTGGTAGGTCCTGGTTTGAATCTCTCGAGGCAATATTGTGGATGCTCACTGCTGAGGAGTCTCACAATAGGACGAAACGGCCATTCAGTGCTCCCAGGTTTTCTATGGTGGTTTAGCTTCAATTGACTCATGATCTCAATTATATAAAATTACTAAAATCTCCACGAAACCCTCTTCTGATTATGAGAACAAAGCTATCTTTATTACTTATTAGTTTGTAGTAGTCAGTATATCATGTTGAATGAACTTGGATTGAATGTGAAAAATTTCTACACCTCTCGAACAATATTGAGGATTTTCATAAATAGGATTTCTTGTCACCTATACAATGATTGAATACTGGATTTTAAGGTCTAGATTGCTAGCATTCAGAATATTAAGCGGGACGAGTGAAAGAATAGGAACAAAGGAGTTTCATAGAGTAGCTACTATATTTGTAATCTACAAATTAGTTATTTTTATGGTCATTTTTAACACAGCATTAAGCTTTCCTTCATGAGATTCAAGGGATTGATTATATGTCGTTGTAAAAGTGATTGACTACTAGTTAAGTTAAGCGCAAGGGACCATATGACAATTAAAAACCCATCAATGTTTTGTGAAACTTTATCAACTAAGGTGGTTAAGACATATATTACTCATGTTTAACCTCAGCCTACCATTACTATTCCATGTTAGCTAATATTAGTATAGGCTGCGGAAAAGCTGTGGGGAGCCAGATCAAAGTATGATGCAGGTCAGTGAAGTCATCAATCGCTTGTCTAAACTATCTCTTTATGTTCTGTCCACCTGGTTACGGTTTGTGAAACAGTCATCATTTATGTCTAGAAATGTTGGATAATATAATGTGTAATCAGTCCTGGTACAGCAATCTCATTCATTCTCTATGTTCTTCTGAATATTGAACTCGGTGTTATTCCTATCTTTCTATTTTTTAAATCTCATTTATTTCTTTTCCAGTATATCATTAAACAAATTTGTAATTTAAAGGAGCTCATTTCATGCAAAGATGTAAACAATGAATAAATCTAATGTTATTTTGATAAATATTCTAGTATTAAATGTAAATTACTATAATACAAAATGCATTTAAAATAAAGGTATGAAACTGACTAGAAAACAATCAATTCGAATAGGAAATTTAGTTAATTCATTGGAATAAGTGTTATTGCAGTGAATGAGCACACCAAGGGGGAGGGGCAAACAAATGTATATAAGTATGAAATTACAGAATCTCTTAGTAAAATCTAAGAACCATACAGTAAATGCTTCATTATACTCAAGTGATACTTACTTTGTTTTGTCAATGTTTTTAAACCATCTTATGTTAATGGAATAAATTAATATGAGTCTCATTTACTCTAGAGCTGATAAAGAGAAGTTACAGTTTCTGAGGGAAATTAAGGCTTCTTGACACTAACAATGATTTAATTTTAAAAGTATTGAAGGTATGAAGTTCTAATGAAAACTGTACAGATGAATGCTTTCAATATTCAATCCTCTAAAGAAATTGATTTTAGTCTTCAACTGATTAAACCCGAAGTTATAATCACTTTTGCTTAGAAAATAAAAATATGTAATCTATACGAAATATTAATCAATATTAATCGTCAAGATGGACGAAGAGGTAAGAAGCGGAAACTTGTTGAAGTACTTTGTGCTGAGAATTCTATATTGTACCAAAAATATAATATTGAATAAAGTTAATAATAATTATTATTATTATCAGTTTACTTGTTTTAGTAATGTATTATCCGTTTATAAAAACTGATTCTATGCCGTTAACTCATCTGCTCTAGTAAACACCGTATAAGTTTAGTTAACTGGTGTATTTTTAATTTGGGGCTGTGGAGACTATTGAATTTCATTGAAATCATGAACTGATCGAAATTGGGCAACTATTGAAAACCTGGAAGGATTATATGGCTGTTTTGTCCTAGAACAGGACTCCTTAGTCTTAAGAATCTGTTACTAGTGAAGGTAATCCGTGTCGGTTGTGAAGCAGTTACTCATCGAAGAAAATGCAAACGATCGCGCAATGTCGTTAGCAGGAATATCAGTTTCACGCAGTATGTTTTTCATGTCACAAAAATAAAGTGTTTGTGTTTAATTTATTGTTAATCACGTTGTAGACACTTTGATTGTAACTTGGATGTCATGTACTGGAGAAACGATAGCTGATTCTCTGTTTTTTTTTGTCTACAGAATTAGCGTTATTGGTGTATTTGATTCAAGTGTTCTAAGACTATTATTCAACGGATCTGTTAAACCAACTGATCTTGTTGTCAAAGCAATGAATAGGAATTATCGGCAAGTTTCTAAAGTACGTTTTATGTTATCAAGCTTTCAATCTATATTCAATTAACCAGTATCACGTATGTTTCCGCACATATTGAGTTTCTCTGACGAATTTACGTGAAACGATATTACATGTAGTGCATAAATCACAATATGTCCCATAGAATAACTCATGTGAACAATTACTTACGGATAGAATTACCATAGAGGTTCTGAAATACCAGTATATAGAATAGAGAATGGCTTGAAACTTGAATACCGTACAGCTAATATTTAAAAGTTGATATAACGCGGTGCTAATGAGACGCTGAAATTATGTTGTTGACTGACAGATCGGGTTCATATAAACACTTAAATGGTTATATCCTTGTATCTACCCATCTAAACTAATTGTCAATATATTTCATACATAATTTGTATGTTCAAAAGATTACTAGTATAAAGAAAATTGTTTTGTTGAAAGTTCAAAACATCAAGATACTTAAAAATAAGAAAACAATTAACTTGAAAGATGTTTCTAAAAAACCGTTAGGTCATTTATCGATATCTTTTGTGTGTAGTCTGTGGAATCGATTTTCATGTTTTCTAAATCATTATATATGTTTCAGGACATATTTTATATTTGAAATATACTGTAATATGACATAAATAGTAATGTATTTTTTGTTCAAATATATCCACATTATTGTATTTATGATTAAGTCTTGTTTTGTGTATGCTTCCAAATGCCCTGGTATGACCGAGAGTGAGGAGTATACGCTCTCACTCTCCAAATGCTCTCACATGGCCAGCGAATATATAGCCTCTGTCAGGAAAGTCCTACTCACTGGCTTCTCGTGGCATTACTGTTGTTTACGAAATTGAGAGGACGAAAAGCGAATGTCCGACGCTTTAAAAGGGTTGGTAGACACGGCAAGTCCACCTAGGATAGTTGGAAAACCCTGATTCCAAATCAGTGGTGCACATGGGCTCCAGGATCCTGAAGGAACAAATGGCGTATGAATCAATCGTTGGTCACCGACTACCATGGGACTGCATCTACTTACGATGCTCCACTGCTTTGTGGATCAGATCTTTGGGCGAAGGCTCCAGGTGTGGCCCTTTAAGAAAACCACCTGCTTCAGTTTGGGCACCTGAGCCGTATCACAGCCTTCACACAAATCAAATGAGATTTGTGTGGCGCATATGTATCTGTTGTCCCTTTGTACCAATACTTATGTGTTTGAATAAATAATAAAATTTGTGCAAGCTTGAATAAGCTATCTAGTCTATGAAGCTGCATAGATCCCTTTTCTCACTGAAGACATCTCTCAATCGCTTTTACATGGATGATAATCAAAATGTACAAACATAACACTTGCTAATTAAAATTTTGCTTTTTAAGGATCACTCTACAATCAAGAAATGATCTTAGAAACATTGGATCCCATAGCGTTCGAGTATGGAATTGCCCAACAGTGCTCATTCACGACGCCGCAGCCACAAATCAAACCCAGGATCTTTTGTCTCACATGTGAATGCTTAACATCTAGACCACTGAACCGGCATCCAACAGTGTTAATGTCTAGGTTTATTCAGTTTACGATCTTTTGAAAATCTCATCCATTGCCTGGTTTAGATAACCGTCTTTCATCTAGCACGGATTCAACTCCACAGGTTATAGCTTCTCACTAGAACTCCAGTTGTATATTAATACTCCTTACTAATGCAAAGTCTCACACTGAAACGAAACGTCTACTCAATGCTTCCAGGTTTTTAGTGGTGGTCTAGCTAAAATCAGTACATAATTTAAAGTATGAAGATTTAACAATCTTCACAAATTCCCTATGCTACTAATCACCAATGCGTTTGAATTTAACTACCTTTTCAAGAAACCAACAGTTTGTGTTATCATTTCCTTCTTTACAAAATGACCTTAAAACCCTATATGTCTGGGTCAACACTGTTAATTTACTTATTTCCAATAAAACATTATGTCATCCGACAAAGTTATTTATTTTGAAATTAATAATTCAGGTTGAAGAAATACATGGCCTTGATCGTGTTTCTCGCGTACTCACTGTTGAGTCATATGTTGTTCTGTGGAATAACGAAAGTAAGGTGAAACCTTTCCATTGATTGTGTATGATTTTGTTTTCAGAGTATTATTTTCATTTTGTTTGTTAATCACTTCTCAGTCTTCCTTTCCATTTCGTTTACTTGCAGCTAAATGAGTTTGGAATTTTTGACAATATTCCTTATAGTTTCGGTTGAAATGTTAAGTCCACAAAGCTTATTCTAGCTTCTGGATAAGCCAATCTTTTCATTCTTCTTGATTCACATTTTGACCTTGTTAGTTATTCGCTTATTAATCTCGACTGTTTTTATATGAGTGCATGTGTGTGCACTTCTTATCCTATCCATCACATATCTGACTATAAATATCGGTTAAAGCTTGATTAAATGGCGTTGGCTCACACACCTCCATAACACGTCATTTCGCTTGGCTATCTTCGCCACGTCTCTGACTGTCTGTTCCGACGACTATACAAAATATACATAGTCGAAACCCATTCTCGTATTTGACTTATTTAATAACGCTATTTAAGTTGATAATTTTATACGAGGAATGACGATGTATATATTTCAATAACAATCACCATACGATACAAAAAGAGTCAGATCTCGGGCCACTAAATTCTATCAAAGTATTTAATTGTTGACAAAGTTTGATCATATTTTGTTTCTAACCACTTGTGTGAAGAAAGTTCAGTGCTCCGCATACATAAATTGGGATACATTGAATTAATACTCAACAATCTCCAGAGCCATATACTGATAATTATCATGTGCTCACTAGTGACCAGCTTCGACAGGTGATTCTCAAAGTACCAGTGGGAAGCCATGAACAGTGGAGTTTAACTGTGTCGAATGTGAGGCAGTTACCCACTGAAAATAATGAAAAATGATCGCGTAATATCGTGTATTGGTTAAAGCCAAACACTAACAGCATTGGATACTGGCTCAGTGGTTTAAAGACTAAGCGTTTGAGCGCAAAACCGAAGATCCTGGGTTTGAGTCCCGCGTGGGGGGATCATGGATGTACACTGATGAGGAGTCTTATATCAGGACGAAATGACTTTCCACTTCTTCCATGTTTTCAATAGTGGTCAATAGTGGTTGATCGGTTCACGATCTCAATTTAAACTCAGCAATCTCCACAACCCTATACTGTTGATATTTAAAAATGTCAAATAATAATGTTCCAGAAGCTCCATACTGACTCATTAGCTAAATACGATACGAAACCCTTCTTTAATCGACTTCAATATAAAGCAGTGTTTAAAATTTATCAGAACTAACGTAGCGTGTATATTACTAAGTCATCTACAAAGTGTTGGACAATACATTGTTGATTTAACTACCTAATTTTTCGTTTATTAGACAACTGGCTCTAATTAACTTAGTTACATTTTTGATTACATGAGGTAAGCCTCAGTAAACTCAACATTACTCTTTAGTTGTAGTACAATCAACAATTTTAGATTCGCTGCATGAGAAATATATTTCTGCTCTATAATAATAATAATAATTACAAAGTTCTTACTTCATAACATCGTATCTGATACGAGTTCATTTATAGTGGGTTAGCAATTGCCAAACACTCCTGTTATTGACTACCTCAAATCTACACGTTTAATAAGCAATTATCTAATGGTTTCCGTTTTTCTCTCTTGAAACCCAGACCCTTATTTAGTATGTCGTGAAGATTTTCTCCATTGGTCTTTATTTAAACAGTAACGAGTTTGTTCATGAAGAAAAAACACAACTAGGAAAAATGAAATCAATCAAAAAAAATTTATCAAATCAAGACTTGGTAATGATACCTATGAAATCAATCTGTTTATCTTCGAACTTCCTTTTACCCATCATTTTTTTTTAGAAATAAATAGCTTAGAGACAAAAAAATTATGTTCTATTGAGAACATCAAATAAACTTCATTTGTTTATTTGTGGTTCAATCAATGTTTAAATATTGGACAAGCAGGGAATGTACGCACATATATTCATACATACAAATGGTTCTCCTGTTTTAACGGTTTATTATAGGTTGAACTGCAACATGGACTAGCTCCCAAATGTCCTGGTATGACCGAGAGTGGGGAGAGTACGCTCTCACTCTCCAAATGCTCTCACATGGCCACTCGTATATAGCCTCTGTCAGGGAAGTCCTACTCACTGGCTTCTCGTGGCATTACTGTTGTTTACGAAATTGAGAGGACGAAAAGCGAATGCCTGGTGCTGTAACTGGGTTGGTGGACACTGCAAGTCCACCTAGGGTAGTTGGAAAACTCTGATTCTAAGCGAATGGTGTACATGGGCTCCAGAATCCTGAAGGAACAAATGGCGTATGAATCAATCGTTGGTCACCGACTACCATGGGACTGCATCTCCTTACGATGCTCCACTGCCTTGTGGATCAGATCTTTAGGCGAAGGCTCCAGTTGTGACCCCTGGCCCTCACCTGGGCAGTATCACAGCCCTCACACAAATCAAATGAGATTTGTGTGGCGCATATATATCTGATGCCTCTTTGTACCAATATTTATGTGTTTAAATAAATAAATAAATAATAAAACATAGACAAATAAATATTCGAAAGTGACTGTTTGATATTTTTTAAAAACATATTAAGATTGCGGATTTAATTTAAAGAGTGATATTTACTTAGGTAATGAAAATGGTTCAAATCAACTTGGTCTTCTCATTACAAAACTGGAGTTTATAAAAGATACCAAATGTTCTAATACTTAGTGTGTCATTCATCAAAACGGATTAATAGTTGTGTTATGACTTTATAAAATAATGCCGTATCCAATTCGTTTTGATTTTATGTCCGGCTTTTATATCGTGATTTATTCACCGACCGAAATACGACTTCTCCGATCTTAACACTGAGAAATCAACGTCGTTCGACCAGTATGTATAGTCTAGCGTCCTTATTGATCCCTTGTCCGCCTAGCCCTTCCAATTGAGTCCTGAATACTAATTACAGCTTCTGCTATGCGAGTCATTTATTTCAAACATACTCCATTTATATACCAGACAGACAGACCACATCACACCCTAAAATAGAAAATAATATTTGTACAAATCAAGTCAAATGTGACCGTGAACGTGGGAGACGGTAATCAGTAAACTGAACATAACTTGGGAACAGTAAATCGTGCAGTGATAATTCATAGGTCAAAATCAAGCTTATAATAAGATGAATATAGATATACACAATCTAGTTACTCAGTAGTTAAACCATAAGAATATATATAGAAAAATAGTCCATTATTAGGTCCTGGGAGTTACCCGCCTGTAGCTCTTCTAGAGTTACTGCCGGTCCCAAGCATGGGTAAAGGAGGAGGGTTGGGCATGGGGTTAGCGACCCTATCCCGTAGAAAAGCTAACTCGCTAAAAAAACGCTAACCAGAAAAAATAATTCAAGTAAGTAAGGGAGTTACCCGTACTTATGTTTTCGCCAGGATACAGCAAGTTATTACGATAAACTGTTATATCTAGAGCCTTGATTCTTAATATGCCGCGAACTACTTGACTACTTGAACGATATAACCCGCGACGTCGCAAAGAGAGAAGACAAAGACTGGTAAGCAGGAAGTTTATTGCCCCGAACAATGTCAAAATATAGCACAGAAATCTCGTGTATTTATAGTTATTGGCTGAAAATAAATTATCATTTAGGTGAACCAATAAGCACATAGGTATCAAACTAATCCATCCAATGGAGAAGCTCCACGTTGGCATTTCTAGAACATTCCCCTAGCCGTGATTGGATGGAATGTCTACGGCTCTTCCTGGGCTTCCTAGAGCCTCCTCGACTTCACCTGTGGACCATCCTCACATAAACATAAAAATTATGGCATATTGAGGAATTATCTTTCTTGTATTTATGTAATTCATGTCATCATCATTTTGTTCTGAGATTTGTTTATAAATCCGTCTGAAAAGGAACAACATCAACCCAATTGATTATCACTGGCATCTGTTTATTTATATTAAATTAACAACAATGGGATATATGACCAAAGAATTATAAATTGAGTGCGCAGAAAATGGTAAACTACTTAGATTAGTGATTGAATAGCTGAGCCGATGGATAGATTAAAAAAAAATAGACATCTGAGAAAGCATCAGTAATGAAATTTGTACTCATTTTCATTTATTTCTACCATGGATATTTCATTAAATATTCCATTGAATAATGTGAATGTGAATATCTCTTTCAAAATAACTGAATTTTAATGAAAAGAATAATTGTAGGCACAGAAAGTCGTGAAGATAGATTTTAACTAACTGAAGGGGGTTTCATGTTTATTAATCCAAAATTCAAATGACATCATGAATGCTTACATGATAACAACAGTAATAGACATATTATGTTGAAGTATTTCAACTGTCTTTTTATTCGAATTCTATTCACTGTGTTATTCTGTATGAATGACTTTCCAGCGAAATATCTTGATGTAAAAATGTGATGATTTTCCATCGTAAGCTAGGAAATGAAAATCTAAGTTTACAGCAATACAGAAATCTATTCAGGTTTGAATGGAGTGAAATTCATAGAGTTATAGCAACCATCCTACAATCAATTTCGATTCTAGCCAATTTTGGTTAAGCCCTTTTTATAACTTACTTAACAGACATCGTTATTTGGATAGTAACAATTTGCATATTATTTGCACAGCTATACCACTAGAGCACATGACACTCTAGCCGAAATCTTGACAGCTTAAATACCATTCGATGACTCATACTCCTCCCCATATATTTAGGCACGCAAATACTATTATCAGTCTTTGTTTTGCTTTGTTGTGCCCTTATTAAATTTGACTATAAATTGCCTATGTAATTGCTTGCTATTTGCTCACTCGCCGCTCACTCGCTCGTTCATATTCGCTCAGGTGTTGTTAGCTTTCTGACCTGAGTTATTTGACAATAAACTGTAGTCGCTGCTATCCTTTGTCTTCTGATTTTACGCGCCGTTAAGTTTAGAATTATAACGGTTATCGAAGTAAACGATTAACGAATCGCGTCACTACAGAATTGGAGGCCTCGCCGAACGAGCACGACGCAATATAATTGGTTGCCTCGCCGTACGAACACGACACTACAGAATTGGATGCCTCGCCGAGCGAACATAAAACAATTTTCGACGAAATAATTTCATTTCGAAATTCAACGTACTCTGTTTCTATTTCAATTATTTTCTGGATTATAATCATAATTGTGGATTTATTATATCACAATTTTAATCGCACGTACATTATCCCATAAACATTATTGAACTTAACGATAATATTCATAATTAATAACGATTATTCACGAACAATTGATATATTGGTGCAATTCAGTAAGTCCGTTCCATTTTATATATTGTACCATTTGTTGTTATCATTGTTTTCATCGATTCATTTCTCTCAGTGACAATTACGTTATATTCGCATACTATTTAATTTATTATTATTAGTAGTAATGTCTTTAAATAACGAAACAACCAATCTTTCACAGTCACCACCCGTGGGAGTTATTAATATTACTATTCCATCTTTTAATGTTACTGATCCTCAACTCTGGTTTATTAAACTTGAAAATTACTTTGTAGCCAATCGTATTATTTTACAGCGACATAAGTTCGGCTATGCAAGCTCACTACTTCCAGATGAAGTAGCAGTCAAGGTACGAGAGATCCTAACTAAGCCGGTTGCAGTAAATCCGTACGACGTATTGAAACAGGCAGTAATAAAAGCTCTCTCGTTAAACGACCGGCAAGCTGTCGAGCAGTTGCTCAGTGAAGTGCAAATCGGAGATAGAACGCCTTCGCAGTTAAAAACGCATATGAGCAACGTAATCGGAGACAGAAATGTTGATAAAAATATATTTTACCAGTTATGGTTGCGACGACTCCCACCTAACGTACAGCAGATCCTCGCTGTTGGAGATAGCGATGTAGACATAGACAACATCGCTAAAATAGCCGATAAGATTTACGAGAGAATGAGACACGCGACTCCACAAACGCTCAACTCCACAGTTGACGAAAGAATCGAGGCCTTGCAAAAGGAAATTAATGCGCTATGCCACAAAATAACGAGCATAAATCACAACGACAGGAAAAGAAGTGGGTCGCGCAGCAGATCAAGAGATAGAAACCGATCATTTTCTAAGGGACTACCAGATCCTGCTATATGCTGGTACCATCAAACATTTGGCTACAGAGCTCGAAAATGCAGGTCTCCATGCAAATTTAAACGATCCCAACGATTCTCAGTAACGACTACGACGATCAACTCAGCTCCCAGGAGCAATCGTTTATTCGATGTTCAGGACAGAGTAACAGGCGCGCAATTTTTAGTAGACACGGGAAAAGGGATAAGTGTCGTCCCTCCATTGAGCAACGAAAAACAAAATATCGATACTGCGCTAACTCTTAAAGCAGCGAATAAATCCGATATAAAGACATATGGCAAGCGAAAACTAACCTTGAATTTCGGCTGTAATATTTCACTTCGCTGGGAATTTGTAATCGCTGATGTTTCCGTACCCATAATTGGTATCGATTTCTTAAAGAATTTTGACCTATTAGTAGATTCTCGACGATACCAACTAGTGAATGGAGAACGCTCAGTAGTCATAAGAGGAGTGACCACCGATCAGGTATCTATGAATTTAGTAGTGTCGAAAGATAAGAACGAGCAATATAAGTCACTTCTAAATAAGTTCGCCGATTTAACGAGGTCATCATACGACAACAAAGATCTTAAACATACAGTACAGCACCATATCGTCACGAAAGGTCCACCGACTAGAGTAAGAGCGCGAAGGTTGGACCCAAAGAGGTTAAACATTGCGAAACGAGAATTCGAAAAACTAATGAAACTTGGTATCATAAGGCCATCTAATAGTCCCTGGGCATCTCCGTTACATATGGTTTCCAAAAAGAATGGAGAAATCAGACCATGTGGAGATTATAGAGCCCTTAACAAGCAAACGATAGCAGATAGATACCCAGTGCCACATATTCACGACATCACTACCGAAATGGAAGGTGCTACGGTTTTTTCGAAAATTGATCTTGTTCGGGTGTACTACCACATTCCAGTGGCCCCAGAAGACATACCGAAAACGGCTGTAAT